CTCTTCATAGATTATTTATAATGCTGCAGCCTCCATAGCCCAGCCCTGTTTACTCTCTTGTTGTGGCTCTAATATCAGGTCAGTGCTCTGCTGCTGATTTACTATACTAGTTAGCGAGGTGAGTAATGACCCGGGATGGTTTGGGAGGATAGTTTGTAATCAAAGGAGGTCAGAGATGCAAGCGATGTTCTAACTGTAATTACAGCCCTGTGTACCCCTTTCACCCACATACACTGCAGCTGTCTGCATCTCAGTGCTGCGTAAAAGAATCACCCCCCATCTCTTGCCAGCTCCTCTTTTACTGCCCTGAGTTAGATGCCCCTGGTTGTAATGACCCCACCTTTAAGTTGAGGTCCCATCTCAGTGTCAGGTCTTTATATAGCAGCAGTTTTCAAGACAGCCCTCCAGCAGTGGAAGTGAAGGCGTGAGGTTTGAATTACAAGAGCTTGCTGAGCTAACTGAGGCACTGGATAGCAGATTGTTGCCATCACTCCCATTTAGTGTCAGCTTTGGCATGTATCCAGGCTCGGGTCCTGCCAAGCTAACCTGAACTCATTTAGTGCCCAAAGTACACACAGAGGTATTCATCATTACACTGTGACAAGACCACATCTTCATAAGTAAGAACACTGCGGTAAGATTCACATTCAGATTGATTGATTCAGACATTTTAAGTTATTCAGTTTTACTGCTTTATATTTTTTGTATTCTTCTCTTCTCATCCTATTTATAATACAGTACGTATTATATAGAGGAAAATAAAGAGGCAATGAGATAAAATGTTATGGTGCCATTCATCCTCATATCCACATTATGAGGAAAACTCATGCACTACAAGGAGAATGTCTACAGGTGCATGACCTATCTGCTGTGAGGCAACTGAGCTAACCAGCCGGCACGATAAACAACTTAAATATGGTAATGTACTTTCAATTAATTCAATGTCCTCTCCATAGCTTCCACCTACAGGTCACATGATGCCCCCAAAACCATCCTGCTGAAGAGGGCCAGAAGTTATAACTTCACAAAGCTAGACAGTAGAGCTATGACACTGTGTCATTACATTGTTTGCATATACTGCTCCCAAAGGTCAAGAACAAGCATCCACGCTCCAGTGGCGGTGTATATTTAACATCCAGAGTGTTGGTAACTTTTAAGTAAGACTTTATGTGTGTTAACCACGTCTGCACAACTTCAGACTTCCTGGTGTGACAGTCCATATCATTTTACGTGCATATTAATGAATTTGACATAGGTCTATTAAGGGTACCATGAATAATAATCATTCAAATTTAGGATACTCATTACATATGTATTACATGAGTAGCAGGTGGGGTAATTTGAGTAATTTGTGGCTATATGCAGATATTGGGATGATGGACGGTGTCTGAAGAAGACAAGCTGAGCCGGTCAGTGGATCTACTGCAGAGTAAGGAGAATTTAGGCTCATCATAAAAGATTTCTCCTTGCCTCTTATTTCACTTGGACATTTTTATGTTTTTTTTATTTTCTACCTCATTGCAGCCGTGAGCTGCCTGCTGATTTACACACACTGCCAGTGAAGCTCAGAGGCCCCGAGAGATGGTGCCCTCTACCCCTCCGTTTTTCCCCCTTCTTTCTCCACCCTATGTCGTCTTCTCACTGCCACCACTGGCAGTTTCTCTGTTCCCTGAAATGGGTCTGACCAAAGAGCTCCCCCTCTACTCATACCTCATCCCTAACAAGACATTTCGTCTGGAGGGTTTGCTATTTACACATGATCTTGTGACACACAAAAGGCTCTGTTCCCCTGTGCCAAGATGCGAATGCATGCAAAAATGTACTACACATCTCCCTCTCTTTCTGTCTTCATCTATCGGTTGAGCTATTGGTCAACCTATGTACTAACAATCATTACACAAGGACTTTTGATTTGATTTGATTTGATATACCTTTATTAGTCCCACAAGGGGAAATTTCATAAGGCTGCCGACCTATTGCACGCAATGGCGGCTTCTATATTTTTTGCAGTTTAAAGAATTTGTACTTCCAATAACACAGCAAACCTGCAGCTGGTGGCTTTGGAGGCTGTTTGTATGGGAAACAGTACAAAACAACCTGTTCCTATGCCAATGAAATGATCACAAGTTTACACGACTATGAACTGTAATAAAAAAAGAAAGAAAAAAAAAAGACTAAAAATATTTAGTTTCTTGTCATTTCAATTTAAGGAGTTACCTACTAAATTATCATCTATTCATTTTTTTTAACCTAATTCTAAGTCAAAGTTAACAATTTAGAAAACTCAGTCAAAGCACTTTATTTTAATATGGATTCATGCATACTTTATAAAAAATGTTATCAAATTTAGATTTAGCAGTTAATCTAAGATGCATGTTTTTGCACCGAGGGAGGACACTTATGTAGGCGCAGGGAGAACATGCAAACTCCACACAGGAAGGCCCCACCAGGGGAACAATGCCCTTCCACCAGTGTGTGAATGTGAGAGTGAATGAATAGTGGAATTGTACAGCGCTTTGAGATTCTCAAAAAGCGCTATATTCTCATGCTATGCTAACATTAAAAAAACAATAGATGCCAAAAGAATAAAGACCCCTGTTTGTACAACCTGCAGGCATATGTTCCTTTCTATAAAACGAAGGGATTATTTCATTGATTAATGAACATTTGTGATTATATATGATCAAACACATTTGCTCTTTTAAGACAAAGTCCCTCCTTGTCATACATCTGTTTTTAAGATGCACAAACCAAAGGAAACACATCTAATTTTACACACCATATTATTTGAGGAAATTACCCAGCAATGATCTCATCTTTTTTTCCCTCCCTCAAGCCAATGCGCTCAAGGCAGAGGAGCTAGTTTCATGCTGATCAGCTCTGATTCTAGGGGATGGGAAGCTGGTGCATGCCTTGGTACAGTGATCACGTCGGTTCCCTGTAATTGCTACATCTACACATCAACAGGCGACACCATTTGCAGGGGAAATAGCAGGTTTAGCTATACAGAACTCAGAAAAGGTAAGGCTGCAGAATTTGATGGATGGCTTGTGTCATCTCATTTTCATCTGTGACATTTGAGTGACAAAGAAAAATGTTTCAACCCTGAAGATTTTTTTTTCCTTTTTGTTTTTGCTTTTTGGTCAAACTGAGGGTAGGTTTGGCTTTGAATGTGCACATGCACAGACACACACACACACACATAGAAGGACAGAGGCACACACAGCTGCAAGGACAGATGTAAAAATCCTGTTTTGGCTGTCAGGTTGTGGAAGCTTTGTGGCCCACAGTAAATCAGCACTCAGTACTGGCATGAAATGTAAGAGACCTTGAAAAATGTTCAGTTTCTTATTAACGCTTCAGTAAATCCCCAGCTCCAAGATCTGCCTATAGTGGAAAAACACGCCGTATCACCTGCGTGTGCTGTTGTCATATCACCAATAATGTATATTCATGGTATCGTTTTGTTTAGGCATCAGCCCCTGTCCACTGGCAGTGCAGCTGGCTTTCTCTGATATCGACTCATCCTGGTTCAATGGAGTTGCAGTCACAGAGATTTAATATCTCAAATGGTGCTGAGCTCCTATTGCTACTAATGGATTCTGTATAATGTGGCACTTAAAATGCATGAGCAGGCTCTGATTTATCTGTAATTTGCCTCCACTGGAGCATATCTCCCTCATTTCTTCCATTTGTTTTTGGCTTTGTAGACATACCCTGATTGGGATTTCATATTGTCACATGTTTGACAGTTTGGTTAATTCCAAAAGATAAAATGTTTACTTTTGCTTATTCTGATGCGGTGTTAATTACAAATCAGATGTAATAGCAAGTCAAGCATGTGATCATAGACATTAGATGTGGTTTATTTGAGCTGTTGTGGCAGAAAGACATGCTGACTTGGTCTGAGGCAGATGGGTCTCTCCCAGAGGGGCCATTTTCATTTATTTGGTCTTCGACTACTTTATGTGTCAAACAATAAGCATACTAATTAGATTACGCACAGTGAGGGTATTTGCCCAGGGAGAGTGAAATTTCATCTTCTACTTCTTCTTCATTTATTGTCCCGCTGTTTTCACTCCAGCTGACCACACTGGGGGTCACACAACATGGAGCAGGGAGCCACTAGCAATTGATCTGATGGGTTTAAATGTCTCCTTGTTGTCATGGTAGCAGAACTGCAGCGGCAGGGTAGGCTCAAGGTTAACGGCCAGTGGATCGGAGTACTGAACCATCAAATGATGGGTCAATACTGCAGGACGGGTCAAATTGAAACTAGCAAATGGAAACATTTCAATCCACAAGACTGCTAGTGACAAAAAGGAGTTTGCAGTCACAAAGCTCTGCAAAGGGAACTTAGTTCATTGTGCAACCTGCAACTCCAAAGCTCCCCAAGATTACTTCTTCCCTTTTACATTTTTGGCATCTCTTACACTAGCATCTCAAGGGCTGTGATACATCCTTCATTGGTTTCATTAATATTATGAAACTGATGAGTCTAAAATGTTTTAATTAATTAAAATTTACATGACAGCTTTTCTTTTCTTTTTTTAACAGACAAAGTAATTTAATTCTGAATGACTGAAGTTTATTTTTAAAATACCCACACAATACCCAAAATGTTGCATCTTTAACTTCAAGAATTCCTTCAAACACTGACATGATACAGTGTAGCATTTTACATAGGCTTCTTAAAAGTCTGTCAGGGTGACACGCAACAATATTGGAAAGTCAGATATCATTAGACTGAACAGTTCCTGTTTAAATAGCTTCTTTGCAAGCTATTTGCAGGAAGACAAGACAAACATTTTTCAAAATTTATTAAGTGGAAATAGTGAAAAACATTCATATGTTTGCACTTGAACACCTACACCTTTGTCCGAAGGTGCAAAATACTGCTGACTACACGTCAAGCATTGGTAATGGTTGCACATACATATATTTCACTATAGTAGATGCAAATGAATACATATCTACTGGATGCGCATCTTTCAGAAATGTGTCCCACCTTCCCGTGGCAGCTCGGTCGGCGGCTGTTCATCTCAGTGTGTTTAAGATGACGTCACTGCTCTGTTCTTTCTAACATAAGCCTACTATCTCTTCCACCCTCTGAATTCACAATAAATCTCACCCAGCTGCTGCAGAGGAAAAAACCAAAGTAAGCAAAACACTTCATCTAATGAGTTTTGCAGATATGTCAGTTTGTCCACTCCCTTTACTCGTTATTACATCTGCAATAAAATAAAAAAAAAGCACGGTGGTGTTCACTGTGAGAGCAGGCGTGTGTGTTTACTAAACACACACGAACAGACACGCTGAGATGTGACTGCAGTAGGTGAGCTCAGACTAACAAAAGCAAAGGAGACAGGTAGAAAGGGTGTCTTGTCATTGCAGCTGGCATTTTGTTCAGCAGGGAGCAATGTAGCCTGTCTACCCGATAGCCCTCTCAGACAGGAGCAAGTCCATTGGGATCCCACAGGACCTCCTACCAGCCACACACCTGACAAGGGGGCTGTCTAAAAACTCTGCAGAGACCCTATTACACATGTCATACTGCTAAGCACTGCGGTGGCCACCAGATGACAAGCTTTCCACACCCTTCCCTTGATTGGGAGTGAAGCACAGAGAGGAGAACAAAAGGCTTTCACTGCACTCATATCTGACCAGTTTCAGTCTCAATGACCAAAATTCAAGCAATGTTTATGAAGCAAAGATTATACAAACGCATTGCTGTTACAACACTGCCATCTTCAGGCAAATTGTTGGTACAACTTTGTATTTATTCAGACAATCTGAGAACGTGCAGGTAGATATGTAGATAGATATAAATGTAGATAGATAATAGATATGTAATATACAAGAGGTAATTTTTTATTATTATTTACTGTGCAAATTTCAAACTAAAACGTCTCATCAAGAACACAAGAAGCTGTGACATTTTTTTAAATAAATGAAATAATTAAGACGAGACATGTTAAGTGCAGTAACAGGTTTACGGTAATAGCTTTTTCCTTCGCTCATCCAAAACATTGTATGGGTGCAGAGACTCCCACATTCTGTCAGCAGTATGAAGATGATGCTTTCATGTAGAACGAGATAAGCAGCTCAGCTCTTCCTCCTGGCTTGTTTCAATGAGATCAAGAGAAGAAGCTTCCAAATCTTTAATCTTGTGTTCTGGATCCCTACCCTCGGAGCTGGAAAAAAAAAAGACAATTTAGTGAATTAGGTAGAGTGAAACTGACTTCTAAAGACTTTCAGTTTTACTCATGCGGTGAGATCAGATCTTTTTTTTTACCTATCTGAGTCAGAGTCACAGGAAATTTTGAGGTTATTGTGCAGATCCTCTTCTGAGTGGAATCTCCGGAGGCCGCAGCGTTGCACAGCCTGAACCACAGAGTAGTGCGTCCTTCCAGCAGCGCAGGCCTCTATCATAGGCACGCTAAGCTGTGACTGTAGGAAAAGGTGAAGGCAGCTGTCGGACAGCAGCAGAGGGTTCTGAAGGACTCTGAAAAAAATTTGGGAAAAATAAACACTTTAAAACTTCGCCCGGTATTACCTTTAGAAAGAGTCAGTCATGTGGTCCCGTGTTTGTACTCCAGTTTTTGTTTGACTAGGTCAAAGTTCATAAATGCATTGATCTTTGGGTTCTCACGTACTGTTCCAAAAATTTCTGGAGCCCTTTCATTCGATCAGTGATCTGCTGAGCGTTATTAAGACTGAAGAAAGGGTTTTTAGGGGGCAGCCCTGGTACATGTACCCTGGAAAATCAACAACAAGAACAACAAAATGTCAGGAACAACTGAGCACACTACTTTAACTATGAGTAAGTAAACTTTAAATTCAAATCTCAGTGGATGAACTTACATTAGCATCGAATTTGCCTGCAGTTTTCGCCTGAGCCATACAAACTCACTGTATCTCCTTCTCACTTGTGAGATCTTCTTGGTGAAGCACACACTGTCGGTCTAAAACAGGACACCCCAGTGTCACACACATATCACAGTAAAAATGCCCTAAATGAAAGAATAACGATTCGACCAACTGTCTTAAGCATTTTACTTACATGTAAACAAATTTCATAGTCTATGTAGGCATGCCAGAAGTCATTCTTTTGCATCCGTGGGTCCCGTACCCAGACACTGATGACCTGCTGCATGGAGAAGGCAGGACAGAGACTGAAAGACTGAATGGAATGCACTGTGTTGTGAAAAAGGGAAGGATTATATTGGCAGATAGAGGAAGTAGAATGACTAACATCACACGAACCAGGATAGGAAAATCCAACAGAGAATGGTTTCATGCTTAGTACAAACACGGTTATTTTCAAAGTTGTGCCACAGTTTAAGGAAAACACATGACTCCTAAAAGATCTTTCTTCTTGACAATTAAGAAACTGTCACATTCACAACACTAATTCAGACCTACCTGATTCTCGGTGCTGTCAGTTTCTTTTCTCATGATCTAAAAGATTCAATCTCAATAACTGTAAGTCAGATAGATAATAGTGGTCCTTAGCACTGCATTTGTGTCTTTTATTTCCACCTTTACAGGTTATGGAGCAAAGGTTTCAAAATAAAGTCACAAGACTGATATAAGCACCTCCCTCTAACTGTCAACTCAGCAAAGCGAGCATTCCTAAATCGGAAGCATTGTTAGAGAACATGTGTCAGCACAACCAGATCAAAGCAGCTAAAGTTACAGGAAATCCATACTTTGTTAGAAAAAGAGACAACTGCTGTAGGTTTTTTTTTTTACACCATCACAGTGGATTTTACACGACACAATCAAGATATGATTGAAGTGGAGACTTTTGGCTTTAATTCACAAAAGTTTAACAAAAAGTTTAGTATTAACTGTTTATAAATTACAGCCATTTTTATACACAGTCTTCCGTTTTAAGAGGCTCAAAGGTAACTGCTAGCAGTTTTGTGGCCAGGTGAGGCCTGTTCATTTGTTATTTTGTGACAAATGAAGTAGACAAAAGATCTGGCGTTAATTTAAAATGGTGAAAATGGTTTCGATTTTAAATATAAGGTCTAATGAGATGCCAATCTAAGTGAGGAAGGCCGTCATTAGGCTGAAAATGAAAAATAATCCTCTCATAGAGACAGCAAAAAATTTAAGAGAGGCCAAATCAACAATCTGATCTGTTCTTAAAAACAATGAGATGCCTGAAAGATCACAGGAGACAATTGAAGTGGATGCTGGTAGCCAAGTACCCAAGGGTACTGCAGAGGCCTGTTTTTAAGTCCATGCCAGAACATTTTCTGTGTCTAACTCCTTCCACTCTCTCCCATCTTTTCTGTTTACTCACAGTACTGCACTATCTAAAAAAAAACAAAGAAAAAAACAGAAGAACATAAAACTAAAATACATGATGACAGAATCGTTTCCATTTGTAAGGAAAAACAACTTTACAGCATCTAACCAAGTCAAGAAGAGGTAAGCATATCATTGACAGGGTCCAGAGTTTAGAAACACCTTCATGAATGTAAATACAGAGAGTTTACAGCACAGTGGAAACCACTGGTTATACTCAAAAACAAGAAGGTCAGATAAGAAAATACCTAAAAGAACCTGCACAGTTCTAGAAAAAGTATCTTTGGACAGATAAACTCAAGATTAACTTGTACCAGAATAATGAGAAGAGAGAAGCATGGAAACAAATCATTATCCTAAGCATACCACATCATCTGTAAAATATGTGGAGGTAATGTTATAGCATGGGCATGTATGGTTGCCAATGGTAAAGGGTCACTAGTGTTTATTGATAGAAGTGTACAGCACTATACTTTTCACTCAAATGCCACAAACCTAATCACTTCACAGTGCAAACAGATAATGACCCGAAGGACACCACAAAAGCAACTCAGCCATTCCTGAAAGCAAAAACGGGGATATTCTTCATCAACCACGTCAGTCACCTGATCTCCGCCTAACAGCGTGCCTTCCAGTTACTAAAAACAAAACTGAATCCAGAAAAACCCACAAGCAGCACCAGACAGTGACCGCAGCACAGGGCTAGCAGAGCCTCTGAAGCATGGAAAAAAAGTACGTGGTGGTGTCGATGGGTTCTAAACTTTAGGCATTTATTGACTACAAAGGTTTTTACTTTTAAAATGTTGTAAGTTTGTCCAATTGATTTCCGCCTCTGAAAATGAAGCACTGCAATTCCTAAAGAGCTGCATTTTTTACAGTAAAACCCTTGAATTAAGATTAAAGGTCTGCACTTTAAGCACATCTTAACTGTTAGCTTTAAAATCCACTGTGGTGGTGCACAGAGGAAAAAAGAAAATCACAAAGCTTGTGTTTCTGGACCCAACTCTGTGTAGCCCATTTAGTGCCAGAAATGTAATGTCAAATGAATCATCTCATATTAATGTTGTTGTTTTTTTTAATAATTTGGAATTGATCATTTATTTTAGGAGTAATTGGACCACATAATGTGAGAAATATAATCAGAGTGAATCAAGATGCAAAAAGTGTCAAAAAAGGTTTCATTTATTCACAGACTTCACAGATCCATGGTCAACAGTTACAGTAGTTCTGTAGCAGATGTGTTTTTAGGAGGTTTGAGGTTCAGCTGAGTGTCCCATAGCAGTCATGGGAGATATGTCGAGTCAGAACAATGCCACCAGGATACAGATATAAAGTACACAGAACTGTATAATTACAGTCAATGAATGCCCTGTGTAAACTGCACAGTCTCAGATCTAAAGTGCTACATTTAACAATCGTCTTACGCATTTACGGTGCACAAGAGTTCATTTTGATAAGTGTAAATCTCATTAGATTTACTTAAGAAAATTCATGACCTTCTAATTCAACTCAATTTTATTTATACAGTGCCAAATCACGACAACAGTTGCCTCGAGGCGCTCTTATTCTGAAAAATTCTACAGGGCTTCACTTTTTGGATCAAAGCACCAAATATTTAAATAATCTGAAACGTTCTAATTCAATAAACAGGAGAAAACTGCTAATTTACAGCAGCTGATTAAAAAAAAACAAGGGAATTTTTGATGGGCAACATTTTTTTTTAAATATATATTATTTAACATCAACCACAAGGGTCATAAAGAGATACAGTAAAAGCTGTGTCCATTAACACTTCACAACCTCACACAATACAAGTTCAAACAAGAGGCATTCCAACAACAGGGCTACAATCTTCAGCTCTAACCAAAAGCTACATAGGCTGAAGGCATGGACTTGGACAGTAGTTTGCTGGCTCTGGCAGTAGAGTGTCGCCGTACAGGATGTAAAGCACACACTAAACAACCGCAGGGCCCTTCCAGTGTAAGATACTGGCATCTAAACAGGACTATAAATACTAAATTACTCATAGAACAATATCTTCAAAACAAAACACAACCACAGTGATCGAGTCCGCTACATGATGACACAGGAAAAAAGCTGCAACGGGTTAGTCTGACCTCAGATCAGCCGCTCTACATAAAGGTTAGCTTGAGCCTCCATCAGAGTGTCTGCAAAGTCACAGTGACCTTTTTTGAGCACCACGGGGCAGACAGCACTTAAAATCCACCACCGCCGAGGATGTCACACCTGCCAGAGCTCGAAGTGCTTCTGATGCCAGCTGAAGGAGGACATTTGATGGAGGCTAAAGTTAAGCTTCAGATGAGAGCACAGCTGTTTATTAGTTCTCCTCTGCACACAACCCACACACATTTTTACTGCTCGTCGTCTCCACAGTGCCAGGTCAGCTTCTGCTCGTAGAAGTCGATGACCACCTGGGGACATCTGGCGCTCGCTTCACGGGCCGGCAGCAGGGCAACGTCATCCGAGTTTTTCCTGTGGGGATACGCGCAGCAGAAGGAAAAAGACTGAAACCGCCTCTTGTTTTTAATGGATGTAAAATGTCTTAACAGAAACAAATATTTCTGACAGTTTTTTTTAATGGAGAAGTAAAGGGTAAGGGGACTCTACATAAAAGGGGCACTAGATTTTAGCTTTAGCTTCCTTTAGCTCATGCTCCATTGTTCCACCAATTCTGTTAAATTTAGCCAGTAATTTCTCACAGTGTCTTGCTGACAGATCAACAAATGTAATAAAGCATATCATCACTGATTTTCAAGAACAAGGATGATGCGTGCCTAGCTGAAGTAACTACAGAGGGATAAAGCCATGAAAACACGGGACAGAGCTGCCAAAGCTCAGTTAAGAGGAGAGGTGATGATCAGTGAGCAGCAGTATGACTTCATACTGAGAAAGAGCGCTAGAGACACGATGTTTGTGCTAGTTTGCTTAAAGTGTTAATGGAGAAGTACAGAGAAGGAGTTGCACTCTGTCTTTGAGGATCTACAGAAAGCATATGACAGTGTACCAGGCAAAGCTGAAATAGGTAGGACATGTGCAGAGGAGGGATAGTTGATACACTGGGCAAAGGATGACGGAGACTGAGCTCCCAAACAGCAGGAAAGAAGATTACAAGAAGAGAAGATTACAAGAATGACAGAATGGGATGCAAGGGACAGACTGAGACAAACAAAGGGAATTAAACATTTTCTGACTGGCTATGCTCTTGTGGAGGAGAAGTAAAAAAAATGACTTGTTTGCTTAAGGGAAGCAATATAGGACTCTGGCGTCTTATCATCATATCAATGCCGTGCTTCTTTGAATGACGCGGACATTTGGGTAAGGTCAATAATTTGTGGAATTGTGTGCAAGTGTTTGCTTTCCGTAGACCTCTAAACTTCCAGCCCTAAACATGAGCACATCTTTCACACTCAAAAAATTCCAAGTTCTCCAACCTAACAAAACTCATTGAGCGTTTTAAAAGACTTCAGCCAACCGTTTTACAAACTGTGTTTACAAACTTTACAATCTGTTGTAATTCAATATAGCTCCTCTTTCATAAAGTAACTACAATCGTAGGTAGTGTTGCGGCTCTGCTGGACTCCCGGACACTAACATTTGTGTATATAAATCAGAAGAGAAAAAAAAAAGCAAAACGATCTAAGCCGATCACTCGGAGCCTCATAAAGGTAGATCTTTGCAGAGCTGGACTTAATAGTCCAGGTACGCATAGTTAAGAGCCCCCGAGTCTATAGCTTAATGGTTGTGTGTAATGATAAACCCAAAGCCCATCTGCTCTCTCCAATCTGTTACTAATAAGGTTTGAGGTGGTCAGTGTCAACTTCCAACTTCTCTTCTCAAGTAAATGATCATGCATATATAAAATGTTGGAAAACTGCAGTTTCCCACAAAGCAACAGCAACAAAAACATCGAGTCCCCCCCCCCACACACACACTTTGCTGTCTGACTCTGGCTTTAAATATTAACATTTTCCACGTTTACTCAAGTGCTGGCATTTATTATTCAAGGACAGAGTAAAGAGGAAGCAGTCACCATTTGACTAGGAACATGAGCTCTCCCTTTCTGTCCGTTGAGCCGATGATGCATTCGGGCTCGAGATAAGTACTGAGGTCACTGGGGGAGTTTTTCTGCTCATCATCGGGCTGAAGGACGCTGTTGTCCGTCTTCACAGCCTGAGCCTCCTGCACGCAGGACTAAAAGAACAAAATAAGAAAAGGCAAAGTTCAAAGTTGCAGCACAGATTTACTAGACATGATAAGAAGGTTGCTAAGTCGAGCCATTTCATTTTTTCTCCCTCACTGTACACACCCATTGCAGAAAAAAGGGGAAATTTAACTGGTTTCATTTTCAGGAGCTTTTGTAAAACTAACCTCTTTAACACGACATTTAGTTTCAGATTGAGCCTTAAAACAATTTCTGACAAGGAGTCAGTTGACTCTATTCCAACCTCAGTCTACAACTAAAGGGAAAATGCTACCATACTTCTATTGTGTTCCCTATACTTCTATATTTTTCATTGTTGTTCTCCCTTTTGGCAGATTTAGCTGCAGAAGTTCTGTAAATAACATGGAAACAGACAGACATACAGACGATCCAGAAACTCCAAAATTCCTCACATACTCACAATTTCTGTCTCTTCCTCTGCCATTTCCTCTTTGGGAACAAACCCTTGCTCGGGTTGCTCTTCTTCATTCTCCTCGGTGAAGTGGGCGTTTCTCAAGAACTCCTCTATGAGTTCAGGACAGTCCAGGTTGTCCTCGGGTTCCCACGTGTTTTCTGCACTGCGGTTAGAGTTAACAGGAGGAGGGAAAGGCAATTTACTACGGTGGATAAACGGGTTACACAATCAAACCGTTCAAATGACTGGTTCTGCAACATCCCACTCACTCAGTGAAGCCCTTCCACTTCAGGAAGTACTCCACTCTCCCATTCGAGATTCTGCGGCGAATTATTTTTTCAACCACAAACTCCTGGACAACTGTAGTCTCCTCAGTCTTCCTCTGTTTGGCAGTCTGCTTCTTTCTCATTCTGCCACGATAGAGAATAAGCGAATGAATGAAGGCCAGGGCAATCACAAGAACAGGGAGTTCATTTCTTTTCGTGCTAAAAAAAAAACAAACTAAACACGGTGGAGTCAGGAACATTCACTTTTATCTCCCTGCTGCTGGGATTTTTTTTTCCAGCAGAACATGGCAGTGGCGACTACTCTGCTGTGCCCTTCATACAATGATCGGCACACTTGTTACAGCGCTCCACCTGCTGTTTCTGTCGGGTGATTGTGCTCCTTCAGTCCAAAAAAAGCAACATGTTAGTATCGCCGTGAGCGTCGTTCACTCACAGCCTGGTTACGAGCACATTCAGCAGACAGCAGCCCGAAACATGAGTGAATAGAAGCGTGCCTCGGTGATGCATTAGACGCTGTAATGAACAATATGCACGTACGCTCTCGGTGTTTACTTAATCTCGGAGGGTAGCCTGCTGCGGTGCCGCTCGGCTCTGCTCTGTGCTTGTCGCTGGAAACAACATGCACAAAGCGCCGGTGACGCTGCTTTGAGCTCAAATGTGTCGGTCGATGTGAGTAAATGAGCGAAACAACTTTTCATGAATGAGTTAAAATTAAAGATGGCCGTTGATGCTCGGAGGAAGTGGTTGCCAAGGGAAAAGGTCATGCCAGGAAAACCGGGAGGAGACGACGGGGACGCGCACAGCAGCGACCAATCAGGGAGCAGTCCGCTCGACCGTCCCAGTCCAGCGGTCCGGAACAGCCCTGCCACCCATGGGCGTCAGCGGGGTATGGCAGGGCATGCGCACTTCCTATAATGTATTTCACAAATTTTGTTTTATTTTATTGGAAACAAAAAGACAGTCCGAGAATACAATAAATAAATAAATAAATGTATTGTGTCTCCTCCCGGGATCGAACCAGGGATCTTGGTGCACTTTAGTTTTATTTAATTTTAGAGTACTTCCATGTATTTCCAATTGATGTTACATAAAGTTCAATACATTTAAGAGAAAAATACCATCCACTTTAAAATGATACAGCGGTGGGTTTATAAAGCAGTTGCAATGAATGTAAATTCCTGATGGAAATAATATACTGAATCGCTTCATTTTGCATTATTTTAAACGTTTGATGCTATTTTTAATATTTAATTTTGCATGATATTGTATAGTAGAAATTCTAATACAGAAAGTGTTACTTAGTATTATTTGAGAATACTTTTTTACTGTTTTCAGTGCTGTAAAGACACTGGGCTTTGTCGACGGGGATCTGCTCCCCTCAAACTCTGAGGCTGTACTGTTGAAATCGCAGGAAAAACAGTCTTTGGGAGATTTGACTGACAGTTCCCCTCTAGCCAATGAGTAAACTCAGAGCTACTGATTGGCCAAATAGCCCCCGCCCCATTCCATCCCGACCAAAGAACAGGCCTTTCCACTTTGCTTTCCAGCAGTTACTCCACACTGTTTTGTAAAACACCACTGGGGGACGCTGCCAGCCTGTATTGGACTGATAGCACCTCTGTTAACCGCTGTCAATAGATTTATACTGGAAAGCTCACAGCCAAAAGGCAGCAGCTCCACATTGAGTTTTTCCACCACTCTCTCGCAGGAGCTGTGCAGAATACAGCTTCTACTGGTACCATTTCATTGTCAAGGCAGGATTATGCAGCACTTGGTGTATTTGATCATAAATTTATGTATAGACATAAACTTACGTAGTCTAACAACACTACAAAAGTCCAAAGATGTATCAGACATACTATAATCAGAAAGGCAGTCAGGAGGAGGACAGGTGACTGGTCTAAAGTAAACAGCTACCATTATTTATATTTGGACTGACCACCTATCCCCCTTGTGCAGTGGAAACTTTTAAATGAGGGGGCCTGTAGATATTAACTTCATGAATTGTAGATTCTCTATTGATAAAACCAAGGTAACCTGCTGTTTTCTACACTGTTTAATTATTAACACTGTGTCGAAGATACTCCAGGCCTCCAGATACAAATGCTACGAACTGTTTTCACACCAATTTATAAGTACATTGAGAACTTAGGGACCCCCGCCTCACTCAACAGACACACTAGAAATATAATCATAATTATAAGGGTCGACCCTTTTCAGTGTCTATATTAATACTGCAATACAATATTCCCATGTTGTGAAACATTATTTTGGCTGTCTCTCTTATAACTATGTTTTTCAGCAGTTTACAATTTAACATCCTTTATTAGGTGTGCTTTATTAAAAAGCATTTTTCGTAGAGCCACACCATCCTTACAAGACATCTTTTTCCTCCATGGATTGGTGTATTAGTTGACTGAGACACTGAGGCAAGACATGTGTTGGTTATCAACCAAATGACCCACTTTTGCCCTCGGACCCCTTCCTGTCTACTCTTCTGGGGATTTAGTACAAGTTGCTATAGTAACGGAACAGCTAATAGGCTTGGGCTGTCGCTGTAGGCCCAAGAATGGCAGTAATGCATGCAGTGAGGTCCTGTCTAGATTTACTACTGTATATATTGTTTTGGGTGAAAGCAGGTTATTTTAGATTTGCATCCCAGAATTAACATTAACAACTTTTCATGAGGAGATTTCTTTTTTCACTGTTATTGATTAAATGACAGTATTGATTGAGACATTGAGAAGACATAGTAGGTGAGTAAAACTGACCCTGTAACACTTAATGTTATGGGTTTCAACCACTCCTCCACCACAACTTACTATTCATATATAGACTAAAAACTGACCAACAAACATTTACATAAGCATCTGTTTTTGATAGTTGTGGGAAATTTGATATTATTGATCAGCCTCTGGATTGCAGTAGTTAGATTTAGGTGAACACTGGCATATCTGAGATGTTTTATAAACATTTGTTTTATGTCTTACACAAATTTGTAATCTAAATAATGTTACTACATGTAATAATAAAGTGATTTGAGGCCTTCCTGGTGCCTTGAATGCAAACTGACTGAACCCCTAAATTGACCAAGGCACTAAAAATGAAATATAGATGTTGATGAAATTACATGCTCCAGTGTACAGGGTGAAAAGATATATTGCGTTATGCCGTCATCCCTTAAATCTACTAACTTCCCTCCCAGACAAGCACATTCCACACACCCACTGTGAATGGAGCCCTAATACAGATGGGGCTTGAGAGCCATTCTGTCAGAGCAGAAATTTGTCCAGATGGCTAGACCCTGCTGTGAGGGGATGTGGATGGAGTGAGTAGTGGTCTGTGTGGCTCAGGATAGGCCCGAGTGGACTCTTTTCACATGGTGGGCCCCCGGCGTTCCCTTAGTTCCAACTTTGAAGCTCTCAGATTACAACCACGGTGAAGGAATTCATGTCAGTCCTTGTGTTCTTATCAAGTCTGTGGTTATATAAGACACAGAATCCAGTAAAACGTTACTAAAAGTACCGGTGGTCAAAACGAGATTCAAATAAGTCCATAACAATTCACTGACTGCGCATTTGTAAAGCACTTTCTTGGATATCATTTTTGCATGTTTTGAAAAAATTCAAGTTCTTTGCCAACTCTCCCTTCATCAGCTTCAAAAACTGACTTCAGATCATATTCAGAGTCACATACAAAGTCAATCAGGGTACTAAGTGGCAGGCTCCAGTGCACTTTATGTCCTCGATATTTATGCAGCAGTGGCAGAGAGAAAAGAAACTTTTCACGAGTAACAGATGACGTGGAACCACAGACCACCTGGATCTACTTGCGGAAATCTGTCTCTTGTTTCAGAACATTTATGGTGCCCCAAGATACTTTCCTCTGTGTTATTCTATACCTGACACTCCAGGGCTAGAGTCGTGTAGTCATTACCAGTCTTTGTGTCTGCAGAGTTACTGGGAATGCATACACTAGGAGTATGCATTACACTACAGGTTTCAATCAGACAAGAAGAGATTAATATAGCATAAATGTATTTTATTAAAACTACTATCTGGTCAAGAAAGCTCATCTAAATGCCAGCACAGAGAGAAAGAATTATAATTATTTAAGGTAAAAGGTAGCTTGGGGTTTTCTGTTGCAGATCAGCTGTAACACTCCCTGCAGAAAACGGAGTGAAACAAAAATCGCAAAGGTGTAATATAGTTTACACAGTCATGCAGACGTTCATCCATGTGACATTATTGTCACCATAATATAACAAAAAAGCCATCAAAATTAAAAAAGCAGCCAACAGCCTTTGATTGTGCTTGATGAATACAAGGATCTAAGGATTTTTATTGCCATGAGGTGAAACTAAATTTTGCACTCAAGTCCTAGTTAAGACCAACAAAAATAACGCTCATCAAGAGCAATATATACAAAACCAAGAAACAGTATGAGTATAAATAAGAGCTTGAGAAGCAGCTGCGTCTCTGTGCGTCGTCAGTTTGAATAAAGAATAAACCTGAACCTGGTGAGATGAAAGTTTAAGCAGCACAAAATTGACACTCTGAAGAACCTCTACCATCTTTCCAAGAAAGTAAATAGTTTCCAGCTTTGGTTTCATACTGTATGTGCTTATTTGGAATATTCAGAGCTCGGCCCTTTGCAGTACTCAAAGAAACTCCATGTAACCTTTGTAGAGATAATAAATCTGTTCATCTGCTGAACGGAGGGAGAGGGAAAAGTCACACAGTGGAAGTGGTGCTGACTTCATCACATGTGGGTCTCTGCTGGGAGATTCCGCCCCACAAAGCGAAGCCCGTAGGATCTTGTAACACTGTGACTGATGGGTGAATGGCATCAGTGACAAGCAACTCCCATTCCCCCTGGGGCCAATGTGGCACAAAGTGAATGGATAGGAGTGGTAGGGAATAGATCGCCTTTGAACCTAAAAAGAATAATTCCCCCTTCTTCCAGTGCTGGTCTTTACTCCCGCTCTCTCTCTTAGTTCGTGCCATTCTTCTTTCACTTTTTTCCTTTCTCTGCGGTGATTTTTTTTGTCCTTCTGAGCTTTGTGGCTGACGATGATGACCTGGGGAAGAGTAGAATGTGAATAAAGTTGCTGTCATTTCAAAGAAGCGATGTGTCACTCAGCTCTTGTCTGAAAGAAAATTTAAGCTTTAAATAACACGGCACCGACGTTGTCCTGCAATTATTGCATAAGCCTAACTGAACGTAACTCGTTTGTTTTGGATAAATGTAACTCTGAAAATAGACTAATGATCCAGGGGCATTTTTGTGAACAAATTTCAAGAAAAGATTTCATGATGTGACATTTTCACATGCCCTCAGGAGCGCCGAATGCTTTTAATCACGAGCAACAGTTTTTGAACAGGTTACAATCAAATTTGTTCCTTTTTGTGTTGCACTTTAAGGCAGCTAGTCACTAACTAAAGTTTGATGGATTGCTCTCCTCTGGTTACCCGCACGGCAACGACTGCTGCTGTCTGCGAGGAGATTGTTTGCGTTTCTGTGGC